CGGCCCTTGCCGGCCGTCCGGCGATTTCTTCCGGCCATATTAACTTAAAATGATATAACATAACATATCATGAATAATGACACATAAATCGGTCGCGTGACCATATATATTACTCAATGAGACGTGAACGGCCGTGACATGCGCTATGTACGTAGCCTACTGCTTTGGCCAATCCTTCGGCAATTCGACAACTTCTCCTGACCACAGCTTCATGACTGACCATAATATACTCAATAATGACTAAGGAAACATAAATCGCTCGGGAGTTGTGGAATAAAATCGGACATGGCTCGACATGGCATAATTGGTACGGTCGAGAGCAATTATGGCCGATTCAAGAACTTGACCACATGATTTGGACTTAGCATGACTATACTAATATCAGAATAATATCAAGAAGAGATTACCTCCTCAGTTGCTCGATCAATTGCTCAAAACTCTCGTGATTGCTCGGCCCTTGTATCTCCTTGCGTGCGTGTGCGATAGAAATATCTTAAAAATAGCTTAATCTCTCTAACTCTCGATTAGCATGTGGCTTAAGTATAGGCTGAATTTACCAAGAGCTTAACATAAATAGGGTAAACAATAGTGAAGAGATTTAAGGTGAAAATGAATTGGAAGTCACGGCCAATGGTCGTGCGCCACTTGCCGCGTGCTTAAGGCCTAAGGTGGCCTTCAACTAGCTTACTCATCTAACTCATTGCTTAGTCATCACTAAATGAAGTCTCAAGCTTCCACATGGGCTAAATGACATGATGACCTCATGTGAATTTGCTCCATCAACTCACGGCATTAACAAAGCATGGCTTAAAGCCTAATGACATGCTTAGCTTGGCTTAACGCGGCTAATGCTAGGCTTAAGTAAACGTGCGCATAGTTCGTGCGATTAAGCATAATTGGCGCGAGCTTAACGTGATTGAACATGGATTAATTTCATAGAATGTGACTTCTAAGACTTAGATATTATTTCCAAGTATTAGTCTTAACCGAACTTAAATAATTTCGGTCGAAACTTGACTTCGAAAATTAATTCGAATAGTCATAACTTTAATAATTAGTCCCGAAGGATAATGATCAATAAAAATAAATATTTCAGAACTAACACGTAATGTACATTAATAACATAGCGGGCTATTACATTTTCAAAGGTATGGGGATGAGCAACTCAATTAGATTTGTAATTGGGAACGAGAAGCTCGAAAATTGGGAGAGAAGCTCGGCAATTGGGGCGAGAAGGTCGTGAATTGGGCGATTAGGGTTTAAATTGGGGAAGAAATGAATATTCTTCCTTAAAGGCTTTTTTATTTGTGTATGTGTGTGTGTGTGTGACACTGTGGCATCCTCGTCCTCTAAGGACACGTGGGATTGTCTGTTCGGACATGTAGGCATGGAGCTTGCTACCGGTCAACTTTGGGTTCGGGTTGCCAATTTTAAAAAATATTGCGATTTATTTGCAATTACCTTAAAGTGGAGATTAAATTGCAAAAAGCTTAAAGTTCATGGTTTTATTTGCAATTAAGCCATTAATTTATCCTTCATATCCAAGATAAATTATGATTTAATATCGGGCCGGACCAATCGTGATCAAACACAAGATATTGTCAGGATTAATGGAGCATATCATCCTATCATGGGAAGCAAACAGAGCTTAAGAAGATTATATCTAGTCATGACCGGTTGCAAAATCCCGTGCCGCCAACCGAAATGGTTTTATATTAGACAAATCAAGCAAAAAATGTTGCATATAAGGAGATTTTTAATGATATATAATATGATTTTCTCATGTTTGCGAGATTTGTATTGTTGTCATGTGTATAATAACTCTTTTACAACTTAATAAAAACTTTAAGGATCCCACTTTAAATATGTTGTCTCCACTAGTTTGAAACTAAATGATGGAATCTATTATTATATAAAAAGCAACATAAATAATATTAAAATAGTATATAAAAGTTATTTAGT